TTGGTCAGCTCCGGACCGAGACTGGGATGAGGAACGTGTAGTCAGTCAGAGCAGGGGGAGACGGGGCGAACCGAGAGAAAAACACGTTCTGGTCCGCCGGACCAGACGTGTTCCGAGGAAATGTACACCGCCTGACCAGAAGAGAGACAGACCGGACCGAGAAAATACACGCCTGGTCCGGGGCTTACCAGTCCTGGTCCGCCGGACCAGACGTACTCCGACAGCACGGACTCCGCCTGACCAAGAACCGAACCGAGAGAGGGGAAAAACAGGCTGGTCCGGGGCTGACCAGTCCTGGTCCGCCGAACCAGGCTTGTTTTCCCTCTTGGATCAACTGACCAAAAGACGAGGCGGACCAGGGGAGAAGGAATACTGGTCCGGCTGACCTGAAGTTGGTCCGCCGGACCAGGCTCAGAGAAACTCGGAGAAATTTTCCCGTTCGCCGGGAAAAAAGGAAACGGCCGACGGGTTTGGCCCGGGCCTGACCAGACTTGACCTGGACAAACCAACCCCCACCAGAGGACAAGACTTCGCGATTGGGATCAATCGAATCGAGTTTTCGCCAGAACGTTGCGTAGCGTAGTGAGATGTATGATATCGAAATGCGAGTGATCGTTGCGTGATTGTATGCGGGTAGAATTTGCATGGCGTTAAACGGTAGCTCGGTAGGGACCGGATACCGTGATACGTATGGTTGTACTATGGGGATGTTGCACGTTGTGTGCCATGTGTGTAGCTTGCTCGTGCGTACGAGTTAAGCGTGATTGTGTTTGTGGATGATTGTGGACTCAACCATCACCGTCATGGACTTGACGGGCGTTTGAGACGCGTTTTAGTCATGTGCGACACGACGGCCAACGTCATGGATTTGACGGGCGTGGACTCGCACCTAGTCATGGACTTGACTAGGGTATATGGCTGGACCCTATGGTGGACTCCATACGGGTATGATTATATTTCCGTTGTGTCATGGACTTGACATCGGTAGTCACGAGAGTGACAGGCGTAGGAGACGCGCACGATCGCATGTGATGCGATGGTCAACGTCACGCGAGTGACGGGCGTGGATTCGCCTCTGGTCATGGACTTGACCAGGGTATACGGCTAAGCCCTATGGTGGACTCCATACGGGCGTGATTGTGATTGTTATTTACGTGCTTACTGTGTTTTACTTATTGCATGTGTTTTTATGGAAATGTCGACTGTACCGTTCTCGTTGGGAACGGGATTTCCGGGTTCAACCCGGGCTACTCACTAAGCAGTTGTGCTTAGCCCTCGTGGTTTACATTTTTCAGATCACGAGGATTACGCCTAGCGCATCCGACAGACGACGACCTGAGGGACTTATTTTGGGGTTTCAGATGGGGCTATGTCATCCTGGCCTTCTATTGGGGTTTCAGAAGGTTTTGGGATATTCAAATCAACAATCTCAGCCTCTAAACCCTCCTCACAAGCTTGAGGGAGATCCACATCAACATTCTCACCCTTAGAACCCTCGTCACAAGCTTGAAGCATATCCACATCAGCATTCCCACCCTTAGAACCCTCGTCACAAGCTTGAGGGATATCCACATCAGCACTGTCAGCCTTAGAACCCTGCTCAAAAGCTTGAGGGAGATCCACATCATCATTCGCAGCCTTGTCACCTTTCTCAACAACTTCACGGAGATCCCATCAACATTCCCAGTTTGAGGGACATCCATAAAAACATCCGCTCCTCCGGCATGGTCTTTAGAAGTTGCAGTGTCCTCCCACACTTCATCATTTCTAGGTTGCACTCTATACGAGTAGTTCGCAGAGAAATGACCAGACTGTTTCAGAATATCTTTCAGACAAGCAATTAACCTCGTCTCAGATGCTTGGATCGCTTGACCCATGTGATCAATGATCCTGGCCTCGGATGCTTTGATCTCCTGCTTAATGAACTTCTCTAATGCATCCACTCTTGAAACTGCTGATCCTCGCATTCTTGGAGGTTCACCCTCAACCTGAGTCTCTTCTTCTTGAATTTCTTCTTGTTCTTCTTCTACTTCTTCATCATCATCTTCTTCAACTATCTTGGCTTTTCCCTTTTTCAAAGAAGCTCTGCATCTGGCATCAAGCTCACGGATGCTATCCCAACAGATGCTTTATGGATTCAACTGCAAATGTTGCATCAATACACTGATTTTTGGATCACTACTTCCCTTGTAATCCTCTAGATCATACAGAAGTGTTTCTTCATCCTTTCTCACTTGTAGAATACTTTTAATACCCTGAAATAAAAAAAATATCACTTTTGACCCGTGTGACCCATGTGACTCATGTGACCCGTGATCCAAGTGACCCATGTGACCCATGTGACCCCTGACCACCTGTGACCCGTGACCCATGACGTGACCCATACATGTGATTCAATTCCAATCTTTTCCATTACAGCAGGGAAGGTCCATCTAAGCCCGGGTTTGATCGTTGGCACTCAAGCTTTCAATGCACTCAAAAGGCAGTAACTGCAACATAAAAAAACTAATCAAATCAATCCAACTTTCAAATAATTTCCTTGTAATTTAATAAATAACTTACCATTAGAGGGATTATAAACCCCGGGCAATGCCATTTTGTCTTTGGTTTCGCACCAAGACTCTTTCGCACTTGATCAACTATTCGATCAAAAGTGTATCGACCCCACGGAAATCGTTCACAGAAACGTAAATCATCAACCATGTCGAACAAATCATGGCTGATTTGTTCGGATGACAGGGCATGATCTAAGATTCCGGCCATCAAGTATAGAATAACCAATCTCTTACGATCTGCTACCCTCTGGATTGGCATATATCTCAATTTCTCCACCACATCATTCAAACAAACCTTCTTACGTCCGAAAGTCTTTTTCCTGAACTCACTCTTTTTGAAGCTCTCTCATTCTTCTGGATATTTTCCACACTTCAAACCACATATAAGTGTGTGCTCAATGATTGAGTACCTCGCGAGCACACCATTGAGCACGAACCACAATTCCTTCTTGTTTTTCGCTTTAACAGAGCGGTTAATGAGAACTCCCGCAGGCGCCATCTTTAACTGTGGATCCCATTGCGCATGGAATAGATGTTGGAACTGTGATTATTTCTCGAAGTACGTCCATTCGTCCTGTGTCAGTACTTCTTTAAGCGTCTTCAGTGTCTCATAGGGATAACACTTCGTATTGATCTTTGAAGAAAACTGAATGTCTTCGAATTTGTGGACAAATGGAAGGTGCAAAATAAAATAATTGTTCGTCATTGTGATCTTTGTGACCTGGGACCTAGAACCTGTGGCTCATGTGACCTATGTGACCCGTGACCCATGTGACCCATGACCCGTGACCCCTGACCCATGTGACTCGTGTGCGGTGTTGTGAGATATTATACTATTACCATATAAATCTTTGTGACCCATGTGACCTGTGACTTAGGAAATCATTAAACTTGCCAAGGTATTCTGAAATCCCACATCCGCACTCTAACTTTCTATTTCAAATTCCTAAAACCCAAATTATATATTTCAAAACACAAAACCCTAACTTTATATTCAGAAATCCCAAAACTTTAATTTTCAATTTCGAAATCCCTAAACCCTAAATTCCTATTTTGAAATCCCAAACCATCCAACAAGTTTAATGATTTTACTCCAGGATCAGGTCATAAAAGAAAAAAACGGAGAAGAAGATGTAGACAAACCTATCGTTTCTAATGGGAGATCTTTGTCCGACGATGACGGCGATGAACCGGCCTGAGACGCAGATGAAGACGAAGCAGAAAGCACATGTGTTCTTGGATACATGGGTGTTTGATTTTTCACAGAAATCACAAGAGAGATACCGAAATTAGAAGAAAAATTGCCTCACTTTTATGAAAATCCCGAAAGAGAAATCACGCAAGAGAGAGAGATAGAGTTTTCGAAATGTTGCAAGAGAGAGAGAGATCGGGTTGCAAGAGAGAGTGGGAGTGTACCGAGGGAGAGAGAGAGAGCGTTTTTTTATTCTTAAAAAGTTAGTCGTTTTTTAATCGAAAAGGTATGTCATTTTCGTCTTTCATTTAAAATTTAGGGATATATATGTCTTTAGCTCATTTCAACTTTTATTTTTTTAGATTTATTTTTTGGAGGGTATGCTATGAAGTAAGGGTAGCATTTTAAGGGCATTTCTGCTATATTCCCTTGTTAATTATGTAGATCTGGGTTTGTTCCTTCGATCCCGTGAGATCCTTAAAGGAGAAATTCGCTCTGTTTCTGTTATTGGCTTCCTTTACGTGTAAAATGCGTTGGTTTTGCGTTATGAACGAGGTTTATTCTCATGGATCAGAATCGAACTAAACGTATTTGTCGTGGAAGTGAGAATCAATTCGATCTCCCTGACTCAATTCTTCGTTTGTGCGCTTTGTTTGATGCGGTTGGCAGGTGTAACAGTAGCTGTGTCACGTGTGTATGTGGGTAACTTGGATCCACGAGTTACTGAGCGTGAACTCGAGGATGAGTTTTGCGATTATGGAACCATCCGTAGGTGAAAAAATTATTCTCTTAACCTGCTTACATGCCTTTATACGTTTGATTTTTTTTTTATGAAATGTACATCTATTAACCAAAAAAAATTATTGTTTGTAGTTTACAGAACCGTTTTGAAATCGGTTAACAAAATAAAACTTCCATGTCTATTGCTTTCCTAACAAAAGACATATCAGGGAGGCCTTGTGATATAATATCAATCCTGTAGTAACAAATTTTCACGAGATTGCATGCTTGTTTGGCAAGATAAGATAATGTTCCGAACTAGCCGGTCCAGCTTATGAATGAAATCTGGCAGTTGAGTTTATACGTTTGATTTTAGCATTCATTATCAGTACTTAATGTTTTTCACATGCAGTGTTTGGGTTGCTCGAAGACCGCATGATTATGCCTTTATTGATTTCGATGACACGAGAGATACCCGAGATGCCATTCGTGATTTAGATGGTGTGCATAGGTTTCCTTGTCGAAGTCGCTTTCTTTTTGCCGGCATTCTCATTTTTTGGATATTGAAGAGTGGCAACCTTTGAAGGGATCCAAATAGTTTTGGGACAAATGGCTGTCATTTCTTAATTCTTATAGAGGTTGTTCATTCATCGTGTAGTGATTTGTTTTGTTGCTCTTGGGAAGGCTCTTGAGTGAGTTATTATGCATGTGTGTGTGCTATATTGCCTATGGCAAGCAAGAATGGATGGAGTGTGGAACAATCTCACAACCGTGGTGGCGGCGCCGGTGGGGGTCGAGGCGGCGGCCGTGACCGTGGTGGTTCTGACCTGAAGTGCTATGAGTGTGGTGAGCCTAGTCACTTTGCATGTGAATGTCGTTCTCGTGGTGGCTCTGGTAGGATGTGCAGCCGTAGTCACAGCCCAAGATACATGAGGAGCCCTAGCTATGGCCGAAGGTCGGATAATTTGATTGTTCAGCTCTCTTCCCTTGTTTCGTATAAGTGAATTTGCAGTTATTGATTGCTCGGTATGCTGGTTAGTGACATGATTCTATGGCTCAGGAGTTACAGCCCTGGTGGAAGGTCTCCAAGGCGACATAGTCATTCACCTCGTGGTCGAAGCTACAGCAGGTCACCGGGTTATCGAGGATGTGAGGAGGTGCCATATGCTAACGGGTAATCTTCCTCTTGCCTTACATTTTCTACTTTCTACTTGAGAAGCTACACTTTTCTCTGTCTAATAAAAGACATCGAATCGATATGAGTGACATTCACACTGAAGTCATGCTTAGCATTTCTCATGTACACGTATCGCAGCGGTGCCCTATGTTAGAAATTTGGGATATAAAAAGAAGAACAATAACAAAAAAGTAAATAGGAACCGGATAACTCTTCAAGGCGTGATACACTTTCCTAAAAACGTTATTCCGTCCTATACGAGCAAAGGACTCTCCGGAATACGTCTTTGAGATACAATGAAGAGAGAAGTGATCTTAGTTTGCTATACTAAGAACACAAACACAAGAAATTGCAAGAAGAAGATGAACAAAAGGCTTTTGTGGGTGTTTTGCAAGAACAACCACAAAAGTGCTCTCAAATCTCTCAAAAAACGAATTAGATATGTTCTATATTGTGTTAGGATGTCCAAGGGTGTTAATAAACACTCCAAATGTCGAAAGGTGTGAAAAAATCGGAAGTTTTACCCCAACGGTCGCGATTTTTCGCTCAATCCGAACTGCTCAGAAAAAACGGGCTGCCCGCCCGTTTTGTCGAGCTACCCACCCGTTTATTTCCGAATTACTCAGAAAAAACAGGCTGCCCTCCCGGTTTTTCTGAGCTACCGCCCATTTATTTATGAGCTTTATTCCTCAGAAAAAACAGGTTGCCAGCTCATATTTTCGAGCTGCCCTCCCATTTTTTCTGAGATCACCTTTCACGTTCAAAACCGAACGTAAACTCTTTCGACATATCCTTAACATTTAGCCAATTCATACCACGTCTTTTACAAGCATTTAACTCCTCCACCATACTTGTAATACACGTTAAACATGAATCCTTTTGAGAGATTCTAAATTCCCATTCATTTACTCTAAAAATACCAACAATCCTCCACCATTTTTAGAGTAAATTAAACAATGGCATATCAAGCAAATAATCATTCATCTCCACAATTCTGCGCATAAATGAAAGTGTCTTTACGATTGAACTTTCACTTAGTGTAATATACCACAATAAACTCGAATTCCGTAGGTGTCGAAAACGATTGAACCTACGTAATCCTAGTTGAGCTACCGCGTATACACACACACAAAATCAATACAATTTCTTGTACTCCTTGACACTATATCGGCCATGTGTCCATATCCCCTTCACAAGCACATAGATGTCGAGCCTCCAACATCTTGAAGCGGCCACACTTCATGCTTGCATAGGTGAATTCTTTCAAATCGTGCTCTGCAACTAAGCACTTTGTCAAAGAATTCATTAAGTATAAACAACCTCTTTACGTTGCATACCAAGATGCTTACCTCGGGATGATTCACTTTTAAGCATCTACAACCACACATTAGAGGATTTAACTCATTGAACTCAAGATCTAACGTTGTATTAGACGTTGAGTTGAGATTCCTCTAACTGTGATTTAATCAATAGGCTCAAGACCCATCCCTATTGTCATTTTGTGCAACATGTTCCTTGACAAACTCTTGGTAAGAGCATCAGCCAAATTTTGTTTTGTACGCACAAAATCCACCACTATGGCCCCGTCTTTTATTAGACCATTCACATAGCTATGTCGTAAACCAATATGTCTAGACTTCCCGTTATACACATGGCTATATGCCTTAGCCAAAGTTGTTGCGCTATCACAATGTATTGTGACAGGCGATACCGGTTTAGGCCATAATGGTATCTCGAATACCAGATTCCTTAGCCATTCTGCTTCTTTTCCCGCAGATGCTAAGGCAATAAACTCCGACGCCATCGTCGAATCGGAAATGCAAGTTTGTTTCTTGGAAGCCCAAGAAATCGCAGCTCCACCTAATATATAAAGCCAACCACTCAGCGAGGCATGATCCTCCTCACTTGAGTTCCAACTCGCATCCGTGTATCCTTCTAACACCGAAGGTTGACCCGTGTAGCGAAGACGTAATTTATGGTCTGTTTCAAGTATCGAAATACTCTCCGTACAGCATGGCAATGATGTACGCTTGGGTTACTAGTTTACCTACTCAACTTACCAACCACGTATGCTATGTCGGGTCTAGTGCTAGTCATAGCATACATTAAGCATCCAAGGACACTAGCATATTCAAGTTGAGATACTGGTTCCCCTTTGTTCGCTACCAATAACATTACAGTCCATCGGTGTAGAAACAAGAGTGTTATCGTAGAGATCAAAACGTTTCAGAACTTTCTCAATGTAATGAGATTGAGAAAGTGAAATCGTACCATGATCTCTTATTATCCTAATTCCAAGGATAACATCCGCCTCTCCTAGATCTTTCATCGAAAATTTCGATGACAAGAATTCTTTTGTTTTCTTGACTTGCTCTAATTCCGTACCGAATATGAGCATGTCATCCACGTATAAGCAAATGATAACCCCATGACCATTCTCGTCAAACTTGCTATATACGCATTTGTCCGATTGATTCAGATGGAACCCGTTAGCCAATACTACCTCATCAAATTTTTGATGCCATTGTTTGGGTGCTTGTTTCAACCCGTACAATGATTTGACTAACTTACACACTTTGTGTGCTTGACCCGATAGGATGAAACCTTCTGGTTGTTTCATATACACCTCCTCTTCAAGATCACCGTTTAGGAATACCGTCTTGACATCCATTTGGTGAATTTCCAGATTGTTTATCGCTGCAAGAGCGATCAACAATCTAATTGTAACTATTCTAGCTACCGGTGCATACGTATCAAAGAAATCGATACCTTGTTTTTGTCTAAAGCCTTGAGCTACTAGACGAGCCTTGAACTTATCAATAGTTCCATCGACTCTCATCTTCTTTTTGAAGATCTATTTGCAATCAATAGGTTTACAACCCAGAGGAGGATCTACTAAGACCCATGTGTTGTTACTCATGATGGAATCCATCTCATCATTTATCGCTTCTTTCCAGAAAGCGACATCTCGTGATTTCATCGCTTCATCGAACGTTCTAGGATCTTCCTCGATATTATATACGTAAGCAAGTTGAGTCACTACCGACTCGTTTGTACCTTCCACTAAGTACATCTGAAAGTCCGGACCAAAGGACTTCTCTTTCCTTATACGTTTACCTCTACGAGGTTCACCTTGTCCGTTATCTTGATCGATTGTTCGACTACTCGAACTAGGTATAGAAATAAGTGGTTTATCCACCGAAGAAAATCGACTTTCGTCGAACAATGCATCTCTCGACTCAATAACCGTGTGAACGGTAATGTAGTCGTTTGGTTCTATGACATAGAACCTATAAGCTTTGCTATGTAAAGCATAACCTATGAAGATGCATTCTACTCCTCGATCACCCAAAGTCTTTCTCTTTGGTTCTGGGACTTTTACAATTGCCCGAAAACCCCAAATCCGAAAATAATTCAGATTTGGTTTTCTCTTGTACCATAGTTCATATGGGGTAACCTTGTTCCTTTTCGATGGAACTCGGTTTAAAATGTAACAAGCCGTTAACATGGCTTCACCCCAAAATCCCTCGCTTAACCCCGAGTATGAAAGCATGGAATTAACCATTTCTTTCAAGACCCTATTTTTCCTTTCCGCTACACCGTTTTGTTGCGGTGTGTATGGTGCGGTGGTTTCATGAATCACTCCTACATATTCAAAATATGTTGGATCATAGTATTCCCCTCCCCTATCAGTCCTAAGCTTTTTGAGCTTAACCCCGAGTTGTAACTCAACTTCGGATTTGTATGCCCTAAACCTATCTAGAGCTTCATCTTTAGCATGCAATAAAAATACACAGCAATAACGTGTGGAGTCTTCAATAAAAGTCACTACGTATTTTTTGTTACCTAGAGACGTAGTTCCATGAAAGTCACATAAGTCACTATGAACTAACTCTAACAGTTTCAAACTCCGTTCTATGCTAGCAAACGAATTACGAGTTATTTTCGTTTTCATGCAAGTTATACACTTATCTTCGTTCATGGCACATAGTGGAATTAAGTCAATCTTTGACATAAGATTTATCCGTTTATAGTGAACATGTCCTAATCTAGCATGCCATAATGTAGAAACATTTGAATCAACAACATACAAAGAAGAAGTGCAAACTTTATTGATACTTAGTTTAAACATATCATTACATAGATAACCCTGCCCCACAAACACTCCTCCTTTAGAGAGGATAAACTTATCAGCCTCAAAGACCATCTTGTAGCCAAATCGATTAAGTACACACCCCGACACTAGATTTCTCCTTACATCCGGAGCAAAAAGAACTTCCCTAAGGGTTAATGTCTTTCCGGATGTAAGCAACAACTCTACTTGCCCCTTTCCTTAGACCTTGACCGTCGAGTTGTTTCTCATGTAAAGAACGTTTCCGTCTTCTACGACTTCTAGAGTCTTGAAGAGCTCATATTCTTTACAAATATGTCGAGTTGCTCCCGAATCGATCCACCATGATTGGTCACCCTCCTGAACATGATTTAACTCGTAAATCATACCAACAAAATTCATATCCGAATTTGTCAAGTAACAATTATTGTTACCTTGAGTGGATTGGTCAAGGGCTTTGTTTCCTTGACCATGAACACTCTTCTTCTCGTGTTTATTCTTCCACGAGTAGCAATCCCGTTTGAAGTGCCCCGGTTTATTGCAAAACCAACAAGTCGCACTCGACTTTGACTTCTTCTTAGGATTGCCTTTGGAGGGTTTCTTTCCTTGTCTTTTGGCTCCACGTTTCTCATCCTCTACAATATTCACTGTAGTAGGAGGAGAAATGTCTTTCCCATCTTGCATCCGGAGATCTTCCTCGATGCGAGATGTGTTCCCAATTGTTCAAGAGACATATCCTCTTTTTTGTGTTTCAGGGAACGCTTGACATCCTTCCAACTCGGTGGAAGTTTATCAACAATGGATAAAACTTTGATGGTTTCATCCATCTGCAGTTTGTGTTGTGTGAATTGACTTAAGATCCTTTATATTTCATGGAATTGCTCCATGACCGGTCTTGAGTCCACCATCTTGTAAGAGTTAAAACTACTTACAAGAAATCTCTTGCTAGAGGCATCGTCAGAGACGTACTTAGCCTCCAGCGAATCCCACAAGGCTTTGGCCGTATCCATGTATTGATAAACATCAAAAAGTTCATCGGACATACCGTTAAGGATGTGGCCTCAACACACGTAGTTATCGTTGTCCCATTTGTTCCGCACGCGAGCCGCATCCAATGTCTCCTCTTCAGTTTCTTCCGGTCTAGGAGTGCTTATCACGTAGACGACGTTCAACGTCGTCAGGAGGAAATGCATCTTCTTCTGCCACCTTCGGAATCCCACGCCCTCGAACTTATCGAGTTTATGAAAGTCTATGGTAAGATATCTCACAGAAGTAGTCATCCTCGAGTGGATAACGTTTTTAGATTGTTAGAAATCTGGGATATAAAAAGAAGAACAATAACAAAAAAGTAAATAGGAACCGGATAACTCTTCAAGGCGTGATACACTTTCCTAAAAACGTTATTCTGTCCTATACGAGCAAAGGACTTTCCGGAATACGTCATTGAGATATAATGAAGAGAGAAGTGATCTTAGTTTGCTCTACTAAGAACTACAAACACAAGAAATTGCAAGAAGAAGATGAACAAAAGGCTTTTGTGGGTGTTCAAATCTCTCAAAAAATGAATTAGATATGTTCTATATTGTGTTAGGATGTCCAAGAGTGTTAATAAACACTCCAAATGTCGAAAGGTGTGAAAAAATCGGAAGTTTTTCCCCAACGGTCGTGATTTTTTGCTCAATCCGAACTGCTCAGAAAAAACGGGCTGCCCGCCCGTTTTGTCGAGTTACCCGCCCGTTTATTTCCGAATTGCTCAGAAAAAACAGGCTGCCCTCCCGGTTTTTCTGAGATACCGCCCATTTATTTATGAGCTTTATTTCTCAGAAAAAACAGACTGCCAGCTCATATTTTCGAGCTGCCCTCCCATTTTTTCTGAGATCATCTTTCACGTTCAAAACCGAACGTAAACTCTTTCGACGTATCCTTAACACTTAGCCAATTCATACCACGTCTTTTACAAGCATTTAACTCATCCACCATACTTGTAATACACGTGAAATATGAATCATTTTGAGAGATTCTAAATTCTCATTCATTTACTCTAAAAATTCCAACACCCTATCATGTTCTTCAACCTTACCTTAGTCCTCCCCATGCATGCACGAGATATTTTCATGATCCATTCCCATGGGCATATTATATTTGTTTTGGGTATGGCGGGGGAAGAAGATGAATGCATACCATGTGGTTAAAACACCCGAGTCTTCTGCTGTTATGCCTCTGCTGATATTTGGTGTCTGTTTTTCATAGTTCTTTCATTTCCATGATGGGCGAGTTTGGATCCCTCGGGTCGAAAATCTTCTTCATCGTGCTATTGAGTCGGGTTTTTTTTTTCTTTGGCTGGAAAATTTGAGAAGATGATGAATGAGCGAAAGCAAAAGGTAAAGTTGCGAACTGTCTGGTTGGAGGCAAGGTTTGGAGTTCCATGGAACTAACTGCCTTTGGATCTTTTTTCACAACATCATTTTGCACTGGCTGCTCTTTTCTTTGGCTGCACCTCTCCTTTACTTACCTCTTAATTGATAAATTATTGAGCAATTTTTTGGTGTTACATTTATTTGTTGAAAAAATATTAATGAAGGTTCATTTTTTTAACTTCAGATAGGATGCTGCAAATATATTAGGATTGGCCATTTTTGTTATTAATCTAATAATATATAACCGTAACTAAACTAAGTACGAGACAAAAATATAATGGTTATGATGGTTATGATTTCTCTAAACCTGGAAAATTGAAACCGAAATGAATTGAATAAAATAAATAACTGAAAAATTGATAATTATTTTAAAAAAAATGAGTTTTTACAAAAAAAAATATTGAATCCAAACCAAATTGAACCAAAAAATAATTGAATCAAATTGAACCAAAATTTATATAAAAACTACATATAGTTTTTTTATATTAAAAAATAACCGATTATCCGAATATAATCGAACGAAAGTCCATATATCCTTTGATTTTTTTGTTTAATCTTGGTGGATGAGTCTTAGTTTAACGTTTATGTTCCAATATACTTTTGGTGTCATGAGAGACATAAATCAAGTTTTAATATCTGGTTACAAATTAGAGAACAGTTTGCATGTATGTTTTTTTATAATATGAAAGTTCAACCTTCCAACTACATCTTTTTTTTTTTTTTTTTTTGTAAAATGTGAATGGAATTAACAAATAAAAGTATGTACAAATCAATGTCAACCGAATACAAAAGATAGAGAATCCATGATCAATGGTATCCAAAAGCCCATGAGAGGTAAAATCAAATAAGAAACTTAAGCTACATGCCAGAACTCAGGAGTGGATCTCGAGGAAATACCAGTCTTCAAGTATTGACAAATGTTGATTCTGGCTGCCTCGAGTGGCTACCAATAGAGTACGTCTTCCTATAGTATTGGAGAAACACATGTGAATATCCCTTTCCAAACGAAGGACTTTTCTTCTTTTCTTAACCGTTGAGTCATCAATCTTGGTTATATATATGTTACGGTTAAGACCGCAGAAACCAGAGTTTTGTTTTTCATTTTAATCAAGACGACAAATTTCGGCCTCACCACTAAAAAAGACAAAAGCATGCTCGTAGATCAGACAAGATCATCCACTGAGTTTGGTCCAATGATCATCATCATCATCATCACGTGCCCACCAAACTATAATCAACCCTCTGGTCCCATTTACACATGACGATGTTATATGATCAAGGCCTCTGCTTCTGCGATTCTTATCATGTTTCTGCCGACACTTTTTTGTCTCGCCGACACTCAGAAGTAAAATTCTCAGTTTTTTTATAAAAAAAAACTAAACTTTCAAGTCTGTTACAGTTGGTTCAATTTGAGAATCAACATTACCGGTTAAGGTTATGGTCTGGTTCTGGAAGAAACTCATGACCACAGTTCAAATAGTCCGACCGGTTGGTACAGAGATAATCAAGAGATGGGTTGAGGAATAATAGAAGAATGGAATTCAGATCATTATGAAGAAGAAACTTGGATATAACATGGATCTGAATCAGAATAGAGACAGCCTGCTCTTTATCAGAGCTTACTTCCACAATAAGTTCAAACTTTACAGACTGTATACATGTATATATATATGCATATATATGTGTGTGTGTGGCTCGGCATCTACCTCGAAGGATCAATAACAATGGAGGAAGAAACAAATGCAAGTTCAATTAAATGCCCTAGTCACTACGGTTCGTACAAAATCCAACACACACACACAAAAGGGAAGTTATTACTGAACAATTTAGGAAACTCACCAATTTATTCAACTGAAGTTACTGAATCATTCATTGCCTGAAGCGGCATCCAATGGCTTTTTCAACTCATCTGCTCGCCAATGAGGTCGAGACCCACCAGGAGAAACGTGATTCCTTGGAACAACAGAAAATAGAAATGAACTCCCTGAGCCGCCAAGAGACTTCTAAGGGCCGCAATGAGCAGAAGAAATGCCAAGCCGAGCTCTTTCCGGTATATCTTATTGGTCTTTTTTACGGGTTTCTTCGATACCTCGCATTGGTTCAGCTCGAAGAGCTCACTGTCCGAAGCTCCACGGGAAATTCGGGTTTTCTGGTCGAGTATCTTCTTAGATTCTCTCTCGGTGAAAGCCAGAAGATCTGATTCTGATGATCTTCCGGCCTTTTTCGTGACAATCCACTCATAAGAGCTGCCCAGTTGGAATAATCCAGACACCATCGCGTTGAACTTGGTGACTGACATCGTGTTCTCGAACAAGAGGTAAGGGACAATGAAAGGGAAAGATCCCGGGGCAGGAAGGATGTTGAGAAAAGACATGAAAACGGGTATGTAGCAGATGACCCACACAGGGAGCTCGGCTTCCGGAACAAACATGGTGAGGGGAAGAACTATGCAGAACAGTGTGAAGGAGTAGAAGGGAAGTATGAGTTTCCTTAGAAGGAAGAAGATAAGTATCAGATTTGCTTTCTTCCATATCGCTATCTGCAAGAACGATAAGAACGTGAGCTATAAGAAAGATGAAAGCAGAACTTTAGCAGAGCAAATTGAGTTCTTTCTACTACCTTAGATGTCAGAATTGACCCGAGACACAAACGGAAAAGCTGCATAGGTCCGGAATGCCATCGATATTGCTGCTTCTTATATGCTTCATAAGACTCGGGAACTTCGCAAAGAACCTACAGATCAATTCTCGTTTCATTTTCATCGATCCCGTTTGCTCATTTCTATCAATCAAAAGGGAGAATGAGAATAAACAACGGGTTATAAAGCACCTTGACGTCGTTGAGAAATATGAACTTCCATCCATGGAGATGTGCACGAACAGCTATATCCATATCCTCCACAGTGGTTCTTTCAAGCCAACCTCCAGATTCCTCGAGGGCTTTGATTCTCCACACTCCAGCAGTTCCATTGAATCCAAAGAAGTTCAAGAAAACGCCATTGACCTGTTGCTCAACCTCGAAGTGGAAACACAGATTGATGTTCTGGAGACGGGTCAACAAGTTTTCGTCCTTGTTCACAAATGCCCATCTTGCCTGAACCAACCCTAGCTCGGGGTTATCCTGAATATACACATTACATAAAGTTAGAAGCTTCAACTTGAAACAGTTTCCATGGCACAATGACATAGATTCTAGCTTCTTAATCTGCTGTTACCTTGAAATGTGGAACAGTTGACTTAAGGAAATCGGAGTTGGGCTGGAAATCTGCGTCGAATATCGCAACAAACTCGTATTCTTTCACATAATCGCAGCACATTGCGGAACTGAGGTTCCCGGCTTTATATCCGGTTCTAACCAAGCGATGCCGGTAAATTATGTTCACACCCTTTTGGCTCCATTTAGCAACTTCAGCCTTGATTAACTGTTGGATGCTTTCGTCATCCGAGTCGTCAAGAACCTGAATCAGCATATGGTCCTTTGGCCAATCGAGCTGGCAAACTGCAGAGATGGATTGCTCGTATACCTGAACGAGAAGACATTTCGAAAACCGATGTGAACACGAGAACTGTAAAATTAAACTTCATTGATATATCTGATAATGGGTGTTTATCCTCATCTTTTCACTGAAACTATGCTCATGAAATGGAGATTAAACTCTTCTTCTTACTCTAGATCATGATGTTATACTAAATCTAGATACTGAACTGTTACATCCATAGATTAACAAGATTTACAGCCAGGGAAAGTATATGGAGAAATGAAGGTCTTTCAAAGAGCTAACCTCTCTCTCGTTGCACATTGGGATCTGCACCAGAACCATTGGATAATCCCGACAAGGTTCGCCTTCAATTGTCGGCTTAATCTTCTTATACTTAATCCAGAAACAACCTAAGCAAAGAATCAAACGATCTACTGACTGTATAAGGAAGAGCACAATACAAAACTTGGACAGAGCCTTGATTGGGGGAGCGATATAATCAGCCCTTAGGCTTAGCCAACCAACATATACCAGATGAAGCAAGCTCTGGATCTCGATGGCGCTAGCCGGAATGTGCAGATTAGGGTTCTTGAAATAATGCCAACCACTGAAATAGGCAATGATTTCAAACCCGAGAATCAACAGTGAAGCAGCTAAGAACAGCTTGATGGCAGAGAAAAGCCATCGGTCTCTGCCCAGTTTCTCAGAAGCCATTGGCTGATTGAAACTGAGCCTCTTCTTGATCGAACCGAGGAGAGACCAGAAGACGGTGGCGAACCAAGTGAGACAACCTACGGCTCTGTGGGCTTTGAGGAGCAAAACCCATGTCACTTGCTTCGCGTTCTTGCCTCTGCTCTTCTCCACTGGTCGGAACGCAGCATCTGGTTCATCGATTTCAACCACCGAGTAATTGGGAGTCTCCATTTTCACCACGACTGGAGTTCCTTTCCTCGTTTCCTTCCCCCACCACTCTGAAAAATCCAGCCTTGGAGCCATCTCTCTCTTCTCCGACTATATGCTCGGGTCTCTATTCGAATTTGGGACAAGAAAAATAGCAGCGAAGTAGTTGAATTTCTCAATGTAGCTTAGAAACCCTCAACACCCAAAATCCCAAAGTGGAAGATTATGCAAAACCCATGTCAGAAAAATTGCGGGTAATGGAGAAAAATCCAAGCTTTGGAGCCGTTTCAAGCGTGTAATCCTCGGGCAAGAACTGAACTTTATGCACTCTAGTGCATTATTAGAACAAAACATGTAAGGAAATTTCAACACCCAGATCCCAAAACCCGGAAATCTACAGACCCATTTCAGGAAAAAAGACAAAGAAGCATTCACAGCTCAAGGGTCATTAATACTGAGCGCTTACGGAGAGAGAGAGAGGTGGGTTGGTACTTGGCATTAGGAGGACAAAGACAGAGATGACAAGCAAAGCAGAGCGAGAAGAAAGGTATCTGGAAGTTGTAAGATCCCTTACACTTCATGTGAGTGTTTCCTCTGCAGCCGCTTCTTTGATGGCTTTAACATGCAAATCCATCTACTTTAATAATAAAAAAAATAATCTGTGAGAATTTTTTTTACTATATCATGTCATGTCATGTCATGGATCCTCCGCAGGAAAATCCAAGGAATTCAAAAAAAAAATTGAAAAATAAAAGACAAACTGAATGGACCATACATTGTCTGGGAGTGGAGATGGAAGAATCCAACACAGACACAGAGAAGCATGAGTGAGAGAAGAGGGTTAACGGACACAAGTTAAAGAACAGAGCATCTTTTGTTTCAAATTCAATTGTAAAAATGTTATCTTATTTCTTGCTCAAATTCCGGTTTTTAATTCATTGAATAGAAGAGGGAAGAAAACATGACAAGACTTTAATTCCATTTGTCCGGAATTCTTATTCAACTCTCGAGAAAAAAAAAATTATGAGCAGAAATGATAATTTTGGGGATGGATAACAGTTTTAACAAAATGAAATCAATTGCACGAGCGAAAAAATAGGACAAAGGAAATGAAAATACCAAACTTTGTCAAAAAAAAAAAAATAGGACAAAGGTGTTGGGAAATAGATTTATCTTCTTTTTTTTTAATTCTGAAAATAGTTATGAAAAACATTTTTTGGTTTTATCTTTTTTTATGTGATTGTTTTTCTAACTATTTTCTCTGCAAATTAACAAGAATGAATATTTCAATTATAAGTGAAAAATAGAAATAAATCTTTTTCTGATACACACTAATCTCATATAAAAATATCAAAATAAATTAGACAAAATTCTAAATGTAACTATAACTATAACTACAACTTTTAACTTTTAAAATTTTGAGTAAATATAATCAAAGCAAACAATAACAACCATTCATTCAATTATCAAGATTTGAGAAAAAAAATTAAACAATTAATTTTTTTTTGAAAATTATATATGGATTTTTACTATTAGTGAAATATGGAGATTATTACAGCTAATTATGACAAAAAAAAATGTGTATCACTATATCCCATTCCTACCTAATACATTGAAGTTCTGTAATCAATTTTACAATATGATTAAGAGAGAAGATGAAAAGAGGTTTCAACATTACACGTGCTGACTGATGAGTTGCAAACTTGAAATATTTATTTAATTTTTTTTGTTAAAATATTTATTTAATTTTCCTAATGAATTCTTTAAACCATGCAAATAGAAATATTTATGCGTTTCTTATTACAAACTTGCTGGAGTCATCTTGTCGGTCGGGATATTGACACTGACAGAAGCAATGAATATTCCTTTTATTGTTATTCGTTACTACAAAAAAAAAATCATTTAACAAATATAAAAATAAAATCCCTCAATATTTTATATCAAAGTAATAACAATTTTTATTTAAAGCTGGAGATTAACAAGAAAATGGAAAGAGAATAAAACTACCATGAAGTGTTAGGAGAACTAATATTATAATTATTTTAGAAAAGGTATTATTTATTTTCATACTTAATGTTTTCAACTTAGACTAATATTTGATATAATTAAATTAAGTGTAATTAGTGGATGCAATCATCGTGGGTGATTAGATAGTCATTCATATTTTCCAGGACCTCATCTTCCCCTTCCATATATAAAGTTATCAAATTATAAAACAATTATTATAGTTATATTTTATTAATAAAGACGTGTGTGTGTATATATATATTAAGAGAGAGCTAGTCTATATATAATGCATTGTAATTGTTCTAGTAAAATTTTTAATATAATAAAAAAATCCAAACAAACTAAAAAATAATATATAAATCTTAGTATTTTATGCATTTATATATTTTCTAAATAAATTATACATTTTGTTTCATACTACTTTAATTATCTCAAAAATTCTGAAATTAAAAATTGCGTAAACCTCTTATATATGGCCCCAAGACGTATCGACCATTTGTTATAGTCCTATAGACATTTGGGGCAATTGCAAAAATACCCTTAAATGTCGATTTCACTTACAGTCCATACCCTCGCACAGTAACAAAAAAACGGCAACATCAAATATACCCTTATAAATGTAGAATCCCTATAATACCCTTCCTTTATTTATATAATATTATAATATACTAAAATAAATAAAATATAGATCTACTTTTTACTCATTTTCTCTCTCCTCTTTATCGTTGTCTCCCGCCATACATCGCATTCTCTCTCTTCGAGTTTTTCTTCTTCTCTCTCTTGAATGTCTCTTCTCCAGCGCAATTTTCTGGCAAATTTACTGCGAGAAACAAGTGAAATCTCTAAGAAACTCATCCAATAAACGTAGATCCCGTTAATAGGTAAGTTTTTTTTAAAGCCGATATATATTTTGGGTATTTAGGGTTTTTTAATTTTCGTATTTGTATAATATAGATGAGTCAAATGTAATATATATATATATATATATATATCAGTTAAACTGGTCAAATTAACTCGTCACATTGGTGAAAGTGACCATTTTGTCCAACTGGTCAAACTCGTCAAACTCGTCAAACTCGTCAAACTC